TTTGGATATCGCTTAGATAGACCAATCTACTTCGAGTGTAAACTAAACGAGGCAATGCACATTAGCATGCAATTATTGCATCCAGCTGCCGTTAATCACAGCGTGAGTATAATAAGGCAGCAGGTGCAATGCATACCAGCTTTTCGCTTCAGAGCCGAGCGACAACGTCGTTCTGCTCAACTGTGTCTGTTCAAGAACTACGAGTTCAGCACACTCTCGGAATCTTCTTGTGTTGGCGAGACGGCGCTTCAACGGTGGTCGTTCCAGTGTCAAGTGGGCTGTGCATTTCAGGCTCCACTACCCCTGTCGTGTTGCAAGCGACCATCTCCCCTGTGCGCCTCAGCACTAAAAGAGCGGCGCCGTGGAGCCGGGCGCGGACGGACCAACGCCGGACCGCACTCATCCTCCTCCTTCGCCAGCCGGCAGCAGCGGGCGGTTCAAGAGCGTCAACAAAGGCCCTACTCGCGCACCCTTCTGCCAACCCGTGGAACCAGGTGAGCCTTGCACCCCACACTCACACCCCTCTCTGGGGCGCTCACAAGCCGCCCGAGTTGGGTTCCTGTGTTCCACCTCGCTGCCCCACTGCGGGTATGGCTGTGGTTCCGCTTGTACGGTTAATGGGCGCTTGGTCAGCGCTGCCCAGCCAGTCTCGCTGGCTTCTGCGGACCATCAGCCTCGGCTATGCGATTCAGTTCGCCCAGCGCCCGTGCAAGTTCAACGGTATCCAGGACGGCCGAAGCCCCTGTTCTGCGGGCAGAGATCACAGTCCTACTGGTGAAGGATGCGATAGAGCCGGTCCCTCCATCCGACATGAGGTCGGGGTTTTACAGCCCTTACTTCATTGTACCCAAGAAAGGCGGTGGGTTACAGCCAATCTTGGATCTGTGAGTTTTGAACCGGGCCCTTCATCGGCTACTCTTCAAGATGTTGACGCAGAAACACATCTTCGGGTGCGTCTGTCCCGGAGATTGGTTTACAACGATCGACTTGAAGGACGCGTACTTTCATGTGTCGATCCTTCCGCGCCACAGACCATTTCTGCGGTTTGCGTTCGAAGGATGGGCATATCAGTTCAAGGTCCTGCCCTTCGGGCTGTCCCTGTCTCCCCGTGTCTTCACGGAAGTCGCGGAGGCAGCTTCTTGTTCCCCTCAGAGAGCAGGGTGTTCCGTTTCCTCAACTATCTAAATGATTGGCTTATACTAGCACAGTCTCAGGATCAGTTGTGCGAGCACAGGGACCTGGCGTTCCGGCACCTCAGCCTGTTGGGTCTTCAGGTCAACTGGGAAAAGAGCAAACTTTCCCCGACGCAGAGGATCTCTTTTCTCGGTATGGAGTTGGATTCGGTCGAACAGACAGCACGCCTCACAGAGGAACGTGCGCAGTCGGTGCTAGCCTGCTTGAATATGTTCAAGGGCAGGACATCGGTCCCACTGATACTTTTTCAGAGGCTCCTGGGGCATATGGCGGCCACAGCAGCACTTACGCCGCTCGGCCTGTTACATATGTGACCGCTCCAGCACTGGCTTTATGGCCGAGTCCCGAGATGGGCATGGAAGCGCGGCACTCACCGGGTCCAAGTCACACCGGCCTGTCGCCAAACCTTCACCCCGTGGTCAGATCTTGCGTTCCTCCGGGCAGGGGTGCCCCTAGAGCAGATCTTCAGGCATGCCATGGTCTACACGGATGCCTCCACCACCGGGTGGGGTGCCACGTACAACGGGCATGCAGACTCGGGGGTTTGGACGGGCTCGCAGCTGCACTGGCACATCAATTGCCTAGAGTTGTTGGCAGTGTGCCTTGCCTTGAACCATCTCAAAGGGCGCTTACAAGGCAAGCACATGCCGAATCCTCTGAGGAAGGATCTACTGATGGACGGGGCACCGTTTGGCACCAGCGGTCAGACCTTTGGAAACTCCATGTCTGGTCCCTGGACGGGACGCGGAGGTTCTAGGTGACCTACCCCAGGAGGTAGTGAACACCATCACTTCAGCGAGAGCACCGTCTACGAGACACGCTTACGTCTTGAAGTGGAACCTGTTCGTCGAGTGGTGTTCTTCTCGCAGAGAGGACCCCTGGAGATGCCCGATTGCGGTCGTCCTCTCTGCAGCGGAACGTCTGGAGCCGGGCCTTCACGATGAATCCGCGTGAACCGTGGAAGGCCGGGTTCCATATTGAGACCTAAGCGGGTTTCGTATGTGTATAATCCACGGTATAGCCTTAGAGCCCGTGTTCCCCGGCAGACTTCTGTCTGTCCAAGAGTTATAATCACGTCCAGTTTCTCCATATACACCTAATCGGATGTTATATGTGTATTTGCTTGAAGGATGGGGCTTTTGCAGCATCCCTGTTCCAAGTGGAGTGGGTAAATTTTCCCAGTGTTATCCAATCTCACTCAGTAAGGTGGTGCTTTGAAAAATGGTGAGTGGACCTACTTGTCCCGAGCCCCGGCCTACACCAGATAGGGGCGCAGGCGGCTCGCATAGGGCAATGGAAGCGGAAGCTTTGGTAGGGATCCCAATTCGTCGGTCACCGACGTGACTCGGAGTGACTGACTGAAAGGGAACGTCTCGGTGACGTCTCCGTTCCCTCCTTCAGGCAACGAGGGTTACCATACGTAACCGAGACGTTTGTCACCGCCTTTTTAGCCTGTGGTCAGACCTTGGTTTTCTAAGGGCAGGTGTGCCCCTGGAGCAAGTGTTGAGGCACATTGTAACAACAAATGCCTCCAGGACGGGCTGGGTCACTATATGCAACGGGCACGCAGCTTCATGCTTCTGGATGGGACCTTGACTGCAGTGGCATATCAGTTGCCTCAAGCTGCTGGCAGTATTGTTTGCAGTACTGGTTCCGTCCACAGTTGCAAGGCAAGCATGTACTCGTCTGCTCAGACAACAATGGTTGTGTAATATTAAATAATCAAGCGGGGATATGCTCTCATTGCATGTCACAACTCGTCCACCATCTCCTCCTTTGTAGTCAGATGTGGCTCAAATTGCTGCATGCCATTCATGTTGCAGGGGAGAACAATCGTGCAGCCGATGCGCTATCATGACAGCTTACCCGTCCGGAAGAATGGAGACTCCATCCACAAGCTGTCCAGCTGATTTGGAGTTGATTCGGGGAAGCCCAAGTGGACCTGTTTGCTTCCCAGGAGTCTTCCCACTGCCAGCTGTTCTACTCCCTGACAAAGGCCCTGGGGGTGAGAGCTCACTCCACTTGTGTTACCTCCCAGGCACTCTTCCTGCAGACATCTTCAGAGATGTGGGCTGGGTGACACCTAATACCTTTGCTAGATTCTTTAATCTCTGGGTGGAACCGGTTTCCTCACGTGTGTCAAGTATGAACAGGAAATTTGCAGGAGGACTGGCTCAGTGTGTCGCTTGCAGTGGCATTCCTCCAGCTAAATGCATGCTCCTTATCTTCTTCCAGTAAGTTCCCCATCTGGTGAAACCTGGTCGAGTTCCTCCAGCAGCAGGTGGGATTCAGAGGATTCTCTTGCCGGGCTCAGTACTCCTACCCCAACGATTGCTGAAACAAATATTGTGAGTATATCGGAACACCATTATTTTGGCTTCCTTAGTAAGCCCTTTGTAGTTGGTTGATTAGCTGGCTTAAGTGGCATTGGTCAGGTTACGGATTGAGGTTCATCTGTCCTGGCACACTCTCCATAGGAACCCCTAATGTCAGTGCCAACATAACGTTGAACATGACTGACTGAAAGGGAACAGCACGAAATTTTAATTCTCTGAAGGAGGGAATAGAGAAGTTATGTCCCTCATGCCACAACCATGAACTTTGCTGGATGCCAGGATGCTTTCTCGGCTCCTCAGCACAAACCTGAATGAGTGGATGCATGCCAACATTTTGTATACCCGTATGTACAGGGAGTGGCTTGGCATGCAAATTCCACTCACCAATAGTCATCGGCCATTTCTTGTAGTGCTCAGAGGTGCTCCTAAGTGAGACACCTAACGTCAGCCTATCTAAGCCTTGGAAAACAGATTTCTCCCAAGGAGGCTCCTCCAGGAGTGATACCAAGTTCGAAAATCAAATGTGGGACAGTCAAACCGGTGCTACTAAGAGAAGCTGCACTGTGTTTTCCTGTTGTATTCCTGTTTTCAGATTCAAACAACCCGAGATGTGCACCGACTACTGCAATACACACTTGCTCTGCACCCAAAGCAGAATGCTCATCATGGAGGCAGACCTGGGTATAACATTATAGTCATTTGAGCCATAAAAAATTCTAAATTTAACTGTTGGCATCTGAAACACAGCAGCACCTGATGAAGCAGAACAGGTTCAACATGAGAAACTGTCTGCTCACTCTCCATTACAGACTTACTGTGCATGTCCAAGGACTTCTGTGTTGAGGACACAGAATGACACACTGACAAAAAGTAATGTGTTCCAGGTTGAGCAAAGACGAACTCTACTTAATGTGAGTCATTGAAACACAGTATCCAAATAATCGAATGATAAGCCAAAGGCTTCTCAAAAAGCATGGACATATAAACCATCCTTCTGAAGAAGAAACTGGAAGATCTGACTAGTGTTGGCACAGGCACATTCATTTGAGGCACTGATGATGAACATGTAGCTCTTCAAATCTGCAGTTATAACCAAATTATTTATGTGCAACGTATAGTCACATATCAAAACAAACTATGTGGAGCCCATGATAGTTTTTTCCCTCCAGAGGGTTATACTGTTACTTAAACCTGACTCATCACAAACTATCAGCTTTGATCTTTTATGATAAAACCAATATACAGATGAACTTTTAATTTATGACATATTTATTCAGTCCTGATCTGTAGTCCCAATAGACATAAAAACAGAAATCTTTAATATGCTGTTTTGACAAGGCTTGTTTCAAGCTTTAGTTAGTCAATCACTTTACTTTTTTCCTTACTTGTCAGATGTAATAAGCTAGGAATAAGGTTTCTACAGGTTTGTTTATTTGGTCTATTTATAATAATATAAAGTTTTGTACTCACTGCTCCTCCATTTAGTATCATGGTCATCTCAGTTGGTTGGTAGACGTTACTTCTGAAGGGTGCACTGGGTCTGGCTCCTGTGTTGCCGTTATGATGGCTACCACTTCTCAACCCTACAACAATAGAGGATGGATGTTAGGATCTGTTTAATGTATATTAAATTATATATTAATCTTTGTGCCTTGTTGTACCTGCAGCATTTTCATCAAATGCGTATCCCTGGTTCTCCACAAACTGCCTGTGTGAAAGTGGGATGTCCTCATCAAGGCTGGCCTCTCTCATGCGTGATGAATTCTGAGATGTGTCAAAATAGTCTGGAGCTGAAGGCTTAATACGAACTCTGGTGAGATTGCTCTGTTAGTGCGGTTCATTTGAGCAAGTGTGAACGCTGCTATCCGAACCCTGGTGCGCACCAAACAAGCGGACCGAGATCCATCTTTTTAACGGTCTCGGTCCGCTTGTTCCAAACGAACTCTGGTGCCATTTCAATGAAATACGAACGCAACACGGACCAAATACTTCTAAACAAACTAAAAACAGGAAGTAATGACAAGATGCGACGCTATGTGACATGATTTCACGAAGGGAACAAGTGGTGTATCCAAAACAAAATGAGCAGAGGGCATACATGGAGCAACGAGGAGGTAAAGAGCCTTTTATGAGCTCTTTGTGAGTTTGCAGGTGGTGAAAATCATAAAATCATAGAAAATAAAAAAGATATACATGCAACAATGAGCATGCTTAGTCCAGCAGACGGCATTAAGTGTATTCGACTTAAAGCGATCGTACCTTTTCTTTTTGTTTGGAGTGTTCGGTGAGTACCGTCACAAAATATACACCATTCAACCCGACCAATCAGGCTGTGAATGTATCTCTATGCCTTTAGGTTCGCTGTCAAAAATGCCAGTGTGAATGCTAAGCGGACCAGGACCAAATGTATCATTTTGCTTTTTGGTCCGGACCAAATTAACCAAACGAACCGAACTACAAGTGTGAACACACCCTAAAATTTGGTCTGACACATACAGTGGCCCAAAAATGTTTCTGGTCACCCAAGTCCCTTTCAAGTGAGGATGTCAATGAATTGTATTATTTGTAAAATAATGTTTTGTTTTAGTTTTTTTTAATTTTCAGAATTTCATTTTTTAACCATTTTTGATTTAAAGCGCCCATATTATGCTTTTTTAAAAGGTTCCTAATTTTGTTTTGGAGGTCTCCTACAATAGGTTTACACGCATCAAAGATAAAAAAACACTTTAATTTTCTCATAATACACATTTCACATCACCTAGTTTCTCAAATAGTTTGAAATTATTCATTCAAAGATTTAGGATCTCTAAAGACCTCCTTTCAGTAAGCCTACTCTGCTCTGATTGGTCAGATAGCTCAGTCTGTTGTGATTGGTCTATTGCTGTGGTATCGTAAAAATGTATTTTAACCAGACACTTCACATCCTTATCCTGTGGAATCGTAAACAATGCAAATCTGCTTTCGCACTGCAGAAAATAGCATCACAACACAAACCATAAACTAAAGTTTTTGAAGGCAAATCAATGTAGACATTGTTTGCGGGAAGCCAATGAAGACCATTAAGCAAATATGTTACGGATCTTTGCAGATAAGTTTCATAAGTGGAACTGGAATTGCTGATGACTTGTCTCTGGAATTGCTGAATAAACTCTTTCTTTCAGGAGAAAATAACTTTATTTGTCGTGCACTTTGAGCTTTAAAACTTTGCAGAACTTTTACATTCACAAACAGCTATATTACACACTGCATGAAATGTAATATTAAAAAAATAATAATGGGGCCCTATAAGCAACTTTCAAGGTACTATTTATTGGATGTATGAAGCCAGTCAGGTCTTAAGGCTTGTGCACACTGGGGCGATTATTGCTGACGTATAACGTCTCGTGACTAAACAAAGGGCGGCAATGTGAGTGTGCACACCGATGTGCAAAACGCGAGGCGTAAAAGCGTAATTTTTTTTTTAACGCCTTTTTGGTTTGACGCACCGCGGTAAAAACTGGCCGACCAATGAGATTTGCACTTTTGTTCAGGTGCCTGGAGCTGCTTAAGTTACTGTAAAACACGACTTGGTGGCGCTCAAGCACAAACCGGTCTTGCCGAGCACACATTGATACCAAATGACGAAGAGGAAGTAAATAGACCAAGAAGATGCATCGAGGCAAGATGAATGTAGAGCTGCTGTTCTCATTGGTGTCTGACCACAAAGGGCTTTATGACAAACGCGACAGCGACTACAAAAATCTCGATAAGAGGGAGTTGTTATGGAGCGGAATTGCAGATCAACTAGGATTCGATGTGTACCGGGGTATTTCTGTTTTTCATTAAGCGCCATCTAATGTCAGGGAGTGAATTTGCACATTCACTCGGCTCATCGCCAGCGAAAATCGCTTGGGTATGAACACAAAGGACGCGTCGAAAAACGTCGGCGATGAGCGCACGCGATAATCGTCCCGGTGTGCACGAGGCTTTAGTCCACAAGTGCACGTGGGATGCTCCTATTTGAAGATAACCATTTTTTATTACATGGAAAAAATACTACAGAAGCCATTCGTCATTTTTATTATATTTTGTTTATAACATTCTTTTCATTTCTCCGTTATTCATGCATGGTATCTTACAAAAACATTTATTTTCCATAAAGCAACAATGTGAGTGATTAACATTTGCTGTTTATAACATGTAACACAGGTTTAAACAAAAAAGCAGGCATGGAGGCATGTATAATTACAATTTAAAATCCATGGTGTGTGTTGTGTGTTTGAGGCTTGGTTTCAGTTCAGTGTTGGAATCTGGATACTCACGTTTTGTCTTTTGTCATGAGTGCATGGTGGGGGTTCTTTATCACAGTTTCATAAGCTCTTGTGTTGTTTTTTTGTTTGAGCACGGGGCCTTTGACCACGTTTGATTGGCCGTGTGCTATTGTCATGTTTATTGTGCTGTCTAGTCTTGTGCATTTTGTTGGAACACATGGCTTGTGATTTTTTTAGGTGTAACTATAGCAAATTTAAAAGTAAGCATAGAGGGAAAGAAAGTAGTAGGTTGCTCTTGAGTGTCTGCGATGTAGAATTCTAGCATGGCTTTGATCTCGTTGCATGATATGGTTAGAGAGTTCTTTAACGTATCCTGACAACAATTGTGTTATGTTATAACTGACTGAGACTGATGCTATCTTGAATCTTGAATGATAATGACTTCTGCCTTGTGTCTAGTCTAAATCTTATTTTAGAGACTGTTAAGCCGGTCTCAATTTCCACAAAAGCTTGTTTATTTATCACGTTGCTGTGATCTTTTGGAATTGCATCAGTGAAGAGCTCCTGGGGCTTTCCAAGGTCGGAGTCAGTCTCGTTATCGACAGTTTGCATGTTTCTCTGTTTCTATGGTTGTTGTAATTCGCAAGCCTTTGCAAAGTGGTTGGGTTCGCTACATTTCCTATACTGCTTCCCCATGGCTGAGCATTTATCCTCGTCTCTTTATCCAGAGCCTGCACATTGTGGGTCTTGTACCAACTCTACCACATTTACAGACAACACGGCGAATGTAGTACGTCCAGATTACATTCATACTATATAGAACATACTCTTTTTTTGGAGTCGTCAAAAAATAACTTTAAAAAAAATGCTTCAAATAAAACTACCTACTCAAATGAGTATGTGATTCCGGACGCAGCCTTTGTGACCGTCTTCACACGGGGTGTCCACTCCTGCTCCTGGAGGGCCAACGTCCTGCAGATTTGAGCTCCAACCAGTTCCAGCTCGCTTGCCTGGAAGTTTCTAGTGAGTCTGAAGACCTTGATTACTTTGCTTCAGGAGAGTTTAATTAGGGTTGGAGCTAAATTCTCTAGGACAGTGGCCCTCTAGAAACAGGTTTGGACTTCACTACAGGGAATTCACCAGCATTGAGTAACATGACTCCACACATGGTATTACTAAAAATCAATTCAAGCTACTTAATCGTTACTCTCTTTTTCACTGTTATTTATGTATTGGACTCACATAAACTTTATATCTTTACACATACTTTAATAAACCGTAAAGCAGTAGTCAGCTTTGTAGCAATTAATACAAAATGGAAATATATTTAAAATCAATTATACTTAGTTTATAATCAATTATAATTACTTATATCTGCTGCAGAATTATTACTTTCCTGGCCACAGAAAATATCTTTCTTACGGTACTAACAATATTGCAGCATGTAGAATAGATCAGCTCATTAAAGTGACTTTATAAGCAGTAAACACAATCAAACTCAGATGCATGAAGTTTATTGAACTAATCTATGGATGCACAATAACTACTCACATAAACACATGATCACATGTACACACACAGGTAAAACGGAAATGAAAGTGGATAAATGAAACCGAAAAATGACACAACAATGTATCAAGTAGGAGTCTGTTTTCCAGTTAAAGTACCTAATTAAATGGGGTCACAATTGATTGTCTTGTGCATGCATTGGCTTCGTCATTAAGTGTGCATCCAGATGCAGTTTAGCTGAAAGTCCTGATAGTGTCTTCTGTAGTTAGAGATGCTCAAGAAAGAGAGGTGGTGATGAGGTTGTGTTCCAGAATGAAACAAAAAAAGATGAACTTCAGTGATGTTGTTCTGACAAGACTATCAACTGTGGGTGGAAAGTTCATACGCTGGCTCCTGGGCAAAACGAAGTGTCCCATGTTGTTGAGACTAACCAGATAGTGGCCTTTAACTTCTACAGAGTTCACACCTCTCAAAACTGCCTTGTCCAATATAAAGTTGTAAGTTTGAACAGGAAAGACACCCCCCCCCACCCCACCCCACTACAGCTTATTTGTATAATCAGAGTTGCTGACAGATTTGTAGCCAATCAGCAGTAAGGGGCATGTCTACTCATGATGTGGAGGAGAGAGCGTTTAGTGCACGGGACATTAGCCGAGCCGAGCGACAGAAAGATAGAGATGGCGGATAAAAAAAACAAAGAGGAAAACGTCTGCGGAACAAAAGAAGGCTTAAGGCAAGAAGTAGGACCCGTGTAAATATCGGATTAGCTTTCCAGCACTGGAGAGAACTCAAGGTGCGGAAGGCCTGCGATCGGACGCCGAGGTTGCTTTGTTTCTTCTCGATAGCTGAGTAACACCGTGTCTGCGCCGCAACAGCTAAAGTCTGTCTAGTACACTGGACGCGACAAAGCGACCGTTGAAAGTCATTTGAAATTTGTGTCAGTACGTTATGAATAGAACGCAGTAGCAGTTTTCTGTCGGGGATTTGTCGTGTCGTGCCGCGTGGCATCCAGTGTAGACCATAGATAAGTATA